GGGGGGGGGGGGTGAAAAACGATCTCTCAATTTTTTTCAGATTTTTTCGCCAGCCCAGTTTGGAGATATGATTTTTTTCTCGTTTTTCCGTTGTTTTTTTTCAATAACTCGAGTTCTATCCATCCTATTTTGATTTATTAAGCGTCAAAATTTTTCATTTTTTACTGCCTATAGAAATATTTTTAGTAGAAAATTTTTTTCGATTTTCAGATGCTCATAATATAGTATATTTCGATACGATCGCGGGAAAGTGTTTTTGGGCTCGTAGAAGGTTTATAGCACGAGCCGAAGGCGAGTGATATAATCCCACGAGTCTAAAAACACTTTTCCCGCGAGTATCGAACCCTATTTTTCATCACAATGTGAGGGAAGTGGGGTTTTGCGGACGCGGAGCGTGCGTAAAATGTCACTTTACACACAGCATGATGGAAACGAATTTTCGAGAAAAAAAAGTTGAAAAAGTTAAATTTCGCAAATTATGTCACTTTTGATTGGTTTCATTTGTTTTCAGTAGTTCTTATAATCAAAACAATTATTTTGAGCCGTCATTCAAGTTGTGGATCCTCGTGGATCTATTTTATTTTCAATTTTTCTTTCTCGAAATTCCGCAAATTTAGACAAAACACCTCAAAATAGCGGTGATTGACTTTGATTATAGACAGTATGAAGTGAATGTGGCTGTATACCTATATATTACATAGTTTTTCGATACATAATCGAAGTTGTTTGAGGTATTTTGACCAAATTTGCGAAATTTCGAAAAGAAAAAATTCAAAATAAAATAGATCCAGGAGGATGCTCAACTTGAATGATGGCTCAAAATACTTGTTGTGATTATAAGAATTACTGAAAAAAATAACACAAATCAAAAGAGACGTAATTTGCAAAATTCAATTTCTTCAACTTTTTTTTTGAAAATTTGTTATTATAAGCATCGAGGAATCGAAAAAAAAACTGGAAATATTGTATAGGCGGTAAAAAATGGAAAATTTTGACGCTTAATAAATCAAAATCGGACAAATAGCACTCGAGTTATTGGAAAAAACGGAAAAATGTAAAAAAAATCATATCTCCGCACTAGACTGCCGAAAAAATCTGAAAAAATTTGAGAGATAGTTTTTCAACCCCTCCAATCATAGAAAAAATCGCCATTCATTTCCAAGAGGGTAAGGGTCAGCGGTTGACTCATTTGGCGTGGAATACCTCATAAATTTTTTTGAATAATGGAAGAATACCCATAAATTCGATTTCTATCCTCGTCTTTTGATAGAATGAATAGCGATTATTGAACCTCACGGAATCATTACAGGTTTCGACTGTGCATCAAAGGTCGAGATCAACAAAGTCCTGGAGGTGGGCGTCGACGCTTCCAAAATAATCTTCGCTAATCCAGCTAAACCCGCTTCCCACATTCGTCATGCTGCTGCTGTTGGGGTCGACACCATGACCGTCGATAACGAGAGCGAACTCCACAAGATCAAGAAACTCCATCCAGCCGCCAAGATCGTCATTCGCATCCGCTGCGATGCTGAAGTCGCTCAGTGCCAGCTTGGCATGAAATTCGGATGTGATCCGATCTACGAGGCCCCGACTTTGCTGCGTCTGGCTATGATTCTTAATCTTGACGTCGTTGGAGTCAGCTTCCATGTCGGCTCTGGATGTCAGGATCCTCCGGTCTTCCGCAGAGCCATTGGACACGCCAGGACTCTCTTCGAGATGGCTAAGGAGATTGGGTACAAGCCTTATCTCCTCGATCTTGGGGGAGGCTATCCTGGGGACAAGGGCACGTGCATTGGGAAAATTGCTGATGTCGTGAATTCTGCACTCAGCGAGTACTTCCCCAGTAAGTTTTCGAATTTTTTGATTCTTTGAAAGAGAACAAAATTGTGAGGGAATTCTGCTGAAATTTGCATCAGTTTTTCTGGCGATTTCAGGGATAGCCATATCCATAATTTATAATTACTGTTAAATTATTGAGTTGTCANCTTAATTATCTCCCTTGTGAATAACACTGCAAGGAGCCCCTCCGACAACTTTCTTCCACTTTGTTTCGCCAAAAAAACATAATTTGTTCTAAAAAAATCGACGGAGCCTTCACCCACTCTACCTCCTCACGAGCGCCACCCGAAGTCGATAGAAAATTTATAGTTCCATATTTTCAAATACTTAATTCATCATCAATTGGAAATTTAGATTATCAATTATTTTACTATTTTTTAATTTCGATTAGTTAATATCACTTTTAAATTTTAATTATTGAAGTAGTCTTCAATTTAAATAGTACAATTTTGGATTATTCATTAATCAGTAATTGTTAGGAAGATTGACGATTCAGTATTATCTACTTGATAGAAAATTTATAGTTCCATATTTTCAAATACTTAATTCATCATCAATTGGAAATTTAGATTATCAATTATTTTACTATTTTTTAATTTCGATTAGTGTATTTACATCTTGATCAATGTAAGTTGTAAATTCTTTTAATATTGAAGAGTCTGAAGATTGATGGCGATCCCTGGGAGATTTTTATTGAAGATTTTCAAACTTTTCATCACCTTTTGAGAACAGAAAAATTTGTAGTAGAAAAAATACCTTCAGAGTTCAATATTTTTATAAAACTTATTTTGTTGAGATGTTTTTTTATGGAAATTCGTCGGCATAAATTCGCTGAGTTCGTTTGATTTTATTTTTGGATTCAAAAATCCAAGGAGAATCTGAACGATTAATTCTAAAAAATTGCAACAGAATAACCGAACAGTTTAAATAGAGCTTTTAAAAAAGTTGATAAATTTAAGAAAGAAATAGGATGAGGATAATAGAATCTCCAGCCGAATGAGCTAGATTTTCCTCTCGACCTTTTCCCCACATGTTCGTTTTGGGTCTGAAGAAAAGTGAGATTGATGTTGATTATCCTGTTTCCTTTTAGACGACGATGTTCACATTATCGCTGAGCCTGGAAGATTCTACGTGGCCTCTGCATTTACCCTAGCTACGAGCATTCACAGCAAACGCTCGGTTCGCACTGACAAAATGTCCCCCAATTCGGTTACTCATAATATGTATTATATCAATGATGGTGTCTATGGATCCTTCAACTGCCTTCTGTACGATCACCAGCATGTCACTCCCATTCCACTCAAGGTAAGATTCTACTTTAATTTTTATGTTCAGGGTATGAGGAAAAGACTTCATTCGATATCTTGTCGATTCTTATCTTATCGACTTTCGTTAGAAATATTCGTAGATAGTTAGATTTATCAGACGTACTTCAGATACGAACTTTGAGGCACGAAGGATGAATTTGTATTGAATTTGGCGAGGCGGAAGGGAATTGCTGGTTCCAGAATTATATTTCATCAATGTGCAGATTCAATTACGTTAATATTGGCTATGATGTTTTCACATTTTTTAGATGAATTCATGATTCGAGAATATTGAATTATTTGAAATCAGTAGCGAAGTGGTAAAACGGTATCAGTCAATTTTGACTATTGACCAGTTTTCAATCAATATCTCGGAATCTAAGGGAGATAGTAAAATTTTTCTTGTAAGCTTTTTTCTGGAGCCGATTGCGTGCTACAACAAATGTGATTACGAAAATTTCGCTATCTCCCTTAGATTCGGAAATATTCCTCAAACACTCAACTGGGAGATAAGTCGACTTAAACCCTTTTACCACTTCCCTACAGAAATGTAGAACAGGATCGGGTTGAGTGATTTTCCCTTTCATCCTTTCTGAAGAAAAGCATGGGTGTTAAAAATCTGGTGAGGTTCGTCGAGTTTTTTCATTCTCTGAAAACAATTATGCGCGAATATTTACAAATGACTCAATAGTTAAATACCAACTGCACCACAAACATTGATAATTGTCTAATAATGTTCATAATAAGAATGATTTTGAGTCATGGGATATTGGAAATCAATATATAATACTAATTAACTGTCAAATCGCGATTGTAATAAGCTTGATGAGTTTCACTGTTAATTTTCACTGATATTGTTCACTAAATCACTGATGAATTTCCGTTGATTTTACTACATGAATAACATGTTGAATTTACTGTACAAGTGATAACTGACTCGATAATTTTACTATACAAACTGTAAACTGTCTCGATGATTTACATGGAAGGAGTTGAAGTATTATTGTTGAGCAACGAGACAAAATGTACGTCGATGCACGGGCGAAAATGTTGAAATACATTTGATATCGATAATTAACTCATAATATTCGCTGAATCACTAGCAAAAATATCGTTGAATAACCCACGAAACGGTGGTAAATTAATTCTTGCGTTGAGTATCGATGAATGATTTATTGTGTCCACGAAGGATGAGTAACCACGTGTTATGCCTTCCATGAGTACGGTTGAGGTGGTTTTAATGAGTACAATCGTCTTGCTCCGAATTTCCATGAAGCCCGCCTAACAAACAAAAGAGAATTGAATACCATTCTATGAAACATGAATAAACGAATCATAATTGTCCAAATCATTTAAGTCAGAGGAAAATAGAATAATTCTACTTTCTTAATGTTGCGTTCACTAATTACTAAGGTTTCCTTCAAACAAAGTTGATTAGAATTAAGAATAGGAGGATCTGAATGCAATATAGTGAAACTGATGATCGATTTTTTCATTTTGAATAAATAATATTAATATCCAAATACAAAATTCTTCATGGGAATAAAAAGTTGTGACTAAATATTCCAAATTAAGTTTCAATTTTTAATTTGGTGCTGAAAAGACGAGATGACAGTATTCTAAGCACGGAATTATATTGGTGAGGTGAACAACAGATTAATTGAATTACCGTGTGAAATAACTAACAATTCATAACAGTGTGGGCACGCACTTTTAGCAGAGCAGCAATAATATTTAATTCCAGAAATTCACTCTAAAGTGTGTTCTAGAAGGAATTGAATTGTAATTATGATTAAAATCTCATTCAGTGAACATCGGAATTATAATATGAGCAATAGTATTTTTCCGGGCTGTTGCGATGGGGTTTTTCACTCGTGTGGCGGTGGCGTCCGAGCCGAAGGCGAGGACTGGCCAAGCGCACGAGTAAAAAAACCCCATCGCAGCCGCCCGGGACAAGATTTTTTTGTAGTGATTTTCAAGTTTTCGAGTTTAGGAAGTATGCAATCCCAATTCCCATACGAGAAAGAGAACCAGTAGAGAAAATCACTTATTATAATAGGAAAATGTAACAACTGAGAAATTGGGACATATGATTCTCATGGGCCGTATTGCTTTTTGCGATGAGAATGATTATAAACAATTAATTGAAAAAAGCAATATCATAATGGCATAATGAAAGGGCATCAGCCGCTAGTAGATATCAAAGATATTGAATACTTGTGAAATCCCTGTGGAAAAATATTGTTTCAAGTTCAGATAATTTAATTCTCTGTTTGCCAAGCGTAAAATCGGTAATATTAAGTTCTTGTGATATTTCAAATAGTAAAATGGAATTGTGGAGCTGTTGTTCACAATTCTTCTCACTCTTAAAGTTCTGGTTATTTCGGAATTCTTTTCATTTTTTTTTCAAACGGCTTTTGGATTTTTACTATGGAAGTAATTGAGAAGTCTGGAGAGTAATCAACTTTGTTTTCTTTTCTTTATTGCAGAGTGGCTGTGGTAAAATGATTCCATCAAGCATTTGGGGACCCACGTGCGACGGCTTGGATCAGGTCGTTGAAAATATGCTGATGCACGAAATGGAACTTGGCGATTGGATAATCTTCGAAAACATGGGTGCTTACACTCTGCCAGTAGCATCACCGTTCAATGGCTTCCCCATTCCCAAGGTTCACGTAGTTGCTGAAGAAAATGTGTGGTATGTATCGATTCAGCAAAATTCCCCTAATCTGATCGATTAATTCAATTTAGAATCTAGAATTAAGCATTTTCTTGGGATATTGTATATTCTATTAAAAGTTGAAACAAGCATCGTCGTTTAAAAATCTAGTTGAATAGTGGAAATCTGATGAAAAAGTAAATTGCAAAGTTTTTCCACATTTTCCCTTGTTTTTATTCCTATAATCTCATATTATGTTATGTCACGCTTAATTCTGTTACGTGATTTTCTCCATTTATCATGCCACTATTGTGTTGTTTAACTTCTACCATAGCAGATAATAATAAGAAATGAGTGGAAAATTGCTATTGTCTTTATATAGTTTACTTATTTTTGCTCATAAATTAGCCATATGGCTCCGAATGGTTATTTTGCACCTCATTTTCTTCTATCGTATATCATTTATTGGTTTATATTATTTCGTTCAATCGAACTATAATTCTTCTTCGAATAATTGTGTTAGATTACTTGTAAAAATCTTTGTATAAATTAAATGAAAGAATGATGGTATTTATATGAACTTGAAAATTTGATGAAATCGTATAAGAAAAACTTTTTTCGTTCATAATTGAATGAATTTGAAATTATATTTGAAGGAACTGGTGTAAAATTTACTTTTTAAAATAAAGTGTTTATTAAATATAAATGGGACGGTAGAAAATGAATATGTTAAAATAAGAGAGAGGAATAATGATAAGAACAAAAGTAACACTAACTTCAGAGGAAATGTTTAGGTGGAAAAGAATGCATGCCAATTAGCATTCTAAATGCATTATGATTATGCATTCTAAATGGGATAAAGACATTCATCACAACATGAATTAAATTTTAATTAACGCAAATGAATAGGGCCCAACAATACCTACATTTGCAGAAAAAAATGTTAAAACTCCATCGATTCAATAGCAAGTAATGAACGAAAAACAGTCATAATGGGTTGATACAACACTGTTTGAAAATTACACTTGAAATTTCAAGTGAAAAAGCTTGACATTTTTAACAACGACAAAGTTACATGAAATTTCTGTAGAATTCTTCATTGATGAATCAGTAAATTTCTTGAATATTCAAGTAATTTTCGATTTTCAGCTCCATACGGCACTGAAGAACCTTGAAAATGTTGAAAATTCAGGCAATAACGTCTCTGAATTTTCAATCTGTTGAAAATTGTATTGTATGTGATGTTCAATTTTCATGATGAGTTTTAAAATTCAAGCTTTCATTGAAAAATCAATGATCGTTTAACATGAAAAACCCAATTTTCTTCAATTTTCAAGATGAATGAGAAATTTAGTAAACGTTTTCAATTAAATTGAATTCAAACTCACAACATTGAAAATTCAGATAACATTGTGACTGAAATTTCAAGAAATTTCTAACGGTGAACACAAAAAATCGACACCTAAAATTTTAACAATCACAACCATATTTTTACCTTCAGTTCGGAGGTAAAAACATCATCAAGATAGTTTTACATTGACGATATGAAAATTTAATCACCAATTAGATTACATCAATCATCATATAAAGTCTCATGAAAAATTAATAATTTCAGGCTATTGTTGAAAGACGCTCTCCCACTGACCGAGGATCACTTCGTAATTGGCACAACTCCAGCAAATCTGCGTCTTGGTCTCGACATTGGAGGGTCCAAAGTCGATCAGTGGGCCCCTGCACCCTTGGATCTCGCTTCCTCCGGCATCATCAATGAACAACCACCTTCCTCTCCCTTTATCTACGAGTACGTCGAAGTCGGACCGCTTAACTGAGTAATGCTGAAATTAATTTTCACCATTCCAAACGGCTGCGTATGATATCGATGCAAAAATAATCTGCGTGGAATTTTTTTTTAATATCCGAACATTTCTTTCCTTCACTCTTATCGAAGCCAACGAATTCACGAAACGTCCATACATTTCTTGCGATTAATATCGTAGATTATCCTGACACCGACAATTAATTGTATAATTTTAGTAATCAGTTGAATTTATCAATGGGCTTCGACATTTCATCTCGTGAATTAAAATTCATTGACGGTTCAGATCGAACAGATTTCAGATTAATTTATCACTACGACTTTTAATTTTTCGTTTAGTTTATTAGTGTTCTTTGTTTATTTTGTTCATCTTCATTAGTTGAATTAATAACCGAGGCATTCCAATCGTGGCTTCGAAAGAAAGAATAATTCTCCAAACAGCTTTAGATGTTTTACAAACAGAATTTGAGTGGAAGAAAATTAAAAAAAAATCTGAATACTCTTTCAATGTATTGGATTTACCCAGATGTCTATGAATGTAGCAATTAGATCGTGCTCATTTCCACCAGATAACACGTAGATACTCTGAATAATTTCAATTCTTTCGATCGCTAACGTTACGACACGTACGAAAAAGTTTCTTATAAAAACTTGAGAAATTCGCTAGAAATTTCTATTGGATTTCGTGTGAATTTTCTGCTAGTTTTTGGTTGATTCTATTGAAAAGTTTCGAAGTTTATCTGCGCCCTGTTTTCACTAGATGAAATTTAGTTTTATGCAAGTCATTCTATTGAGATGTTTTCTATAGAAATTCCTCGTCTCAAATTTTCCAGCTTTTTTCTTTACATTTTTTTAATGGAAATGTCGAGGAAAAATTGTATAACGAGATAAAATTCTACTAATTCTTTCGATAAACAATTTCTGTAGGACATTTTCTATTAGAAAAAAGCGCGGTACAGCAGTGGAATTGTTTAATAGAATCGTTTGAGAACTAATAGAACTTTCAATAGAAGTCAAATAAAATTTTCTGTCAAATTCGCTAGGTTTTTCCGCGAAATTTTTTCATGTGTGGAGTTTCTCTTGGATTCAACCGACGCACAATGAACAATGGCAGAATGACTTTTTAATTTTGAACATTGAAACTCAAGATCTTCCTAGTTTTATCGACATTAGAATATAAATTTTTCAATTAAATAACAATCGATAGGTTGATTCAGTAGATTTTAAAGATTATAAATGTTTATAAAATTATAATTCGTAGATGTCAAGACGATCCAGAGAAACATTATTTGTGCCGTACAATCTTTCGTATCTTTGTATGATGATAAACGAGAGGAATAATTAGGATTGAACTGTGGACGCAGTGTAAGCATAAAACCCGAAAAAAAAGATGAATTTTCAAAAAAATGTCGAAAAAATGGTAGAATTGTAGAAAGAATTTCCATAGATGGAAAGATGATAAGGAACAAAAGGAAAAACTCTGCAGGAGTGCTAGGAAACTCTGAGGCATTGAGGCAGCTGTCACAAGAAATAAAAACGATAATTAGTTTTCTCAGTAATTAATTACCCTAATTGTATTATATGTGAAACTGACTTACATAATTATTGTCCATTAATTATTCAATTAGCTCGATTTACGTGTGTAACAATGTACACTAGAGCAATAAAATTTAAATTGAGATGTAAATGACAAATATTTCCCTTCATTTTTCCTTTATCCTCCTGTATTTTCACATGTGTAAAATCACACGTTGAGAAATCTGTTGAAATGTGATTATTTCAAACATTTTTAAACCAAGATGTCAGAAATCTGTGGTTTGTGAAGAAAGTTCATGAAAAGTTGATATATTTTCATATTTAATTAATACAAAATTTTATAATCACTTAAGGCCCCAATGGATTATCTTTTGAGCGTTCTCTCAAAAAGTAAAAAAAATTGAACATTTTCCAGAAACGTTTTTTATAATGACTAGAAAATGAGTCCGCTAGAGAGGAAATTGTAAATGGATAAATCATCTTAACCAAGATTAACAGCCATTGCTACTGTGACAAATGACGATCTGATAGCCCATGAGGTACAGTAAATTATGAATTTAGAATTTCCTCCCTGTTGGGTTTATTTTGCAATACTATTAAAAAATGCGTTAATTGAACCTTTTCAATTCACTTTTTTTGCAAAATGACTCGACTATAATTATGAGGTTGCTTACAAAATTGACTCGACTAAAACCATCAGGTTGCTTGCAAAATGACTCGACTATAACTATGAGGTTGCTTACAAAATTGACTCGGCTACAACCATTCGGTCGCTCGCAAAATGCTTCGACTACAACCATTAGGTTGCTTGAAAAATCACTCGACTACATTCATAAGGTTGCTTATACAATTGACTGGCTACAACCATCGGGTTGTTTATAAACTGACTCGACTACAACAATTAGGTTCCTTGCAAAATTATTTGACTACAACCATTAGGTTGCTTACAAAATTGACTCAACTACAACCATCAGGTTGCTTATAAAATTGACTCGACTACAACCATCAGGTTGCTTACAAAATGACGACTACAATTAGGTTGCTTGCAAAATTACTTGACTACAACTACTAGGTTGCTTACAAAATTGACTCGGCTACGACCATCAGGTTGCTTATAAAATTGACTCAACTACAACCATCAGGTTGCTTGTAAAATTGACTCAACTACAACCATCAGGTTGCTTACAAAATGACGACTACAATTAGGTTGCTTGCAAAATTACTTGACTACAACTACTAGGTTGCTTACAAAATTGACTCGGCTACGACCATCAGGTAGCTTATAAAATTGACTCAACTACAACCATCAGGTTGCTTATAAAATTGACTCGACTACAATTAGGTTGCTTGCAAAATTACTTGACTACAACTATTAGGTTGCTTACAAAATTGACTCGGCTAGAACCATCAGGTTGCTTATAAAATTGACTCGACTACAATTAGGTTGCTTGCAAAATTACTTGACTACAACTATTAGGTTGCTTACAAAATTGACTCGGCTAGAACCATCAGGTTGCTTATAAAATTGACTCGACTACAATTAGGTTGCTTGCAAAATTACTTGACTACAACTATTGGGTTGCTTATAAAATTGACTCGGCTACAACCATCAGGTTGCTCACAAAATGACTCGACTACAACCATCAGGCTACTTACAAAATTGACTCGGCTACAGCCATCCGGTTGCTTGCAAAATGCATCGACTACAACCATAAGGTTGCTTGCAAAATGACTCAACTGCAACCATTAGGTTGTTTACAAACCTTTATATATGCGTCGCTGAATGAACGCTTCAAATTTCGAGAATCGACTATAGCTAATGCTACTTACAAGTCGCGTCAAAAACATTTCGGCTCAGCCGCCGGTTTGTTAACACCTTTTCACTGGAACTTCACTTGGAGAAAGTTTCGGACATCTAGCGGCGCGTCAGTGAACCTAGGTTCCGCGCGAAAATGAATAACCTGCGGGAGTATCAACCAGTTTGAATGGCTCGCGGTGCGATTGTTTATGATTTCATTGGAAGATAAATACTTGTATTATTCATTTTTAACTAAATCATTCTTTTTACTTCACAATTTATTATCTTCTAAACTGTGTAGTACAGCTAGTTAGAATTTTTTTCAATAGCTGGGGACCATTATAAACATCTATGAAAAACATGGGGAGAATTCGTAAGAAAAACCTGTTTTCTAGGAATATACTTTAAATTACAGATTACCTAGTTGGTGAGGAAAATTTCAAGAAATTTTCCTCGAAATTTCAAGTAAAATATTCGTCAGCGCGATTTGATTATTTTGGTTTTTGCAGTAGAAGGGAAATGAATCTGTTGTTCATTCTTCCGAAACTGAAATTTCGTATTTGTTTTGAAATTGAAGACAGTGAAAGATGGGAAATAAATAGCCAATTGAAGTATCAGAGTGCAATGAGGAATTGGACAAAAAATAAACGTTTCCCCGACTATTATTACCTCCTTCACTCCTTAATCACCTTCTCTCCTTCGTTTTCGATTGATCATTATGTTTAATGATGATTTCCAATATTAATCTAGTTTAATTGCCCCCATAATTGTAATGACTACTGGCGAATATTTTTTTCAACGTGAAATTGTATCTTTTGTGGGCGAATCTGTTGTTTATGTAACCGTCATCACTCTCTATTCTTTGGCATGACGAAGTTACTTTCCTCATCAATTACTTTCGGGTGAAGGAGGGCTTCGAGTGGAGTAAGCAATTGCTTCAATTGTTACTGATGGCTAGACCCATTTCATTTCACGGTAGAAATCCTCGCTGATTAAAGGAAAATTTAAATGTTCCTAATCATGCGTCAATGAATATTGAAATTTAATTGATGGAGTTTCATTATGTTTCTTCAGTTGATAATTCAACAGAATGAGAAGAAACCTGATTGACCAGGAAGTGAAATTTATCCAAGTCGAGGCCCGAACGCATGGATTCGGACTGCCTGACGACTGCTAGGTGACCTTTCTTTCGTCTATATTGCATGATATTGCTTTTCTTCAGTCGTGAAGTTCAATTCTCAAGTCCACTTATCTACGACGGATGAATGTATTGTTTGCTACTGAGAGAGGAAAAAATTTATTGATAAATTGATAGTATCTGAAGTATTCTTTTCATTCAATGTGACATTTTTCATTCTATTGATTGCCCAACGACTGTGTCACATGGAAGAGATCTTTTGATATGATCAATCAATTATTCACTTGGAGACAGCAAAGAAAGTACACCAAAATTGAATAAATTCGCAATAATTCGCAATATTAGAAAATAATTTTTTTGTGGCAAATTGATGAATTTCTATTCATTTTTTATAGTTGATGCATTGTTAACAATTTTTGGCTGCAATTTTCAATTGGGATCTGGTGGCACTTTACATGTAAGTTTATGGGGTGAATTTCATTTTAATACGACTTGAATGAAATTGATATAATTTTGAAGCTTAACAAACGGTTTGAGAGTGATTTGTAATTTGTTGAATTCCATTCTGTCAATCTCGAGTTATTGACTTTTGAAGACGGCTCAGTTTGCATTACAGTTTCGTACAACGGAGACATTTGCTATTTTAAAATGATTCTTTTTCTCGACCCGGTCTTTCATTTGAGCCCAAAAAAACATTCATATCTTGTCTGACATCTTTGCTAAAAACTCGGGTCTTCAACTCGGGCTTTCAATTGAAGGCCCGAGTTGTAGACACGAGTTTGTAGCAGCGAATGAATGTTTTTTTGGGCTCAAACGGAAGAGCGGGTCGAGAAATGGCGTGCTAGGACCTCCAAAGATGGTTTTGAACCAGGGGAGACTCCTAGACCCCAATGTTCTATACATACTCCTAGACCCCATTGTCCTCCTAGACAATGTTGTCACAACTCTGCTTTTCAATTGAAAACAGATATCATCTTTAGAGACATTTGTCATGTTTAGAGGCTCTAGCACGTCATTTCTCGACCCGCTCTTTCGTTTGAGCCCAAAAAAACATTCATATCTTGTCTGGCATCTCTGCGACAAACTCTGGTCATCAACTCTGGTTTTCAGTTGAAATTGGAATTGTTAATTTACCCAATAATAGGAGTGCATTGACGATTTTTTCTTAACTCGCAAAAATCTTCAAACTATTTTCTACCGATTGGTGATAAAATTTTTTGGAAATAATGAAATAGGGGGGATAACGCCTTTTTTTCAGGGGTGATTTTTCAAAAATTTATTTTAAAAAAAGTACTAACTAGCAAATGTTTTTTATTAGCTCGCAATTTTCTTCAAAACTACTTCAATGAGGAAAAAAATAGAAATTTGGAATATCTACACATGAGGGGCTAATTGATCGGATCTCAATACACTACTTGGAGATTGTTTTCATTTAATAGTTCTACTAAAATTTCGAGTAATTTGATAATTACAAATTCGAAGTTTTTTAGAAAAATACATTTTCTTTCAAAATTAATTGATTAAAAATCCAGTTTAATATATTATTGAATAATCATATTTTGATCGAAACTTCAAGTAGGTTGGGGAATCCCCGCTCTTCCAGAATTTGAAATCTCCTTAAATTTGAAGTGAAATCTGAAATTTCTTGATTGCATTTGCTGCTATCGCCCTCAGATTGTCAAATGTATGAGATCTTTCGATGTGATTAATCAATTTACTTGTCGGTAGTAAAGAAAGTTTCCATCGAAATTGAATAAATTCGCGGAAATAATTTTTTTGTGGGAAATTGAAGAATTTCTATTCATTTTTTATAGTTGATGCACTGTCAACCATTTTTGGCCGAAATTTTCGATACACTTTTTGGAAGTTGTTATGATTTTATAGTTTAACTAAAATTTCAAGATTATTTCATTGAAAATTCAACATTTTAGTTCAAACCCACAAAACCCAAAATTTTCAGAAATAGTTAGACTAAAATTATGGGAGAATCATGAATTTTCCACGTGACTTCAGTCTGCAATTGCATCTGATTATGTGAATAATTTCTAAATGATTCTTTCCCAAACGAACTTGCTTTAATCTTCTTAATTTGTTTCCGTTTTCTTCGTACGACAAAAATATTAACGACTCCAAAACGGATAAACAAGATTGAAAAAGAGTAGAGGATTGAGCGAATTAAATTCTCGAAGAGGATTTTACGTTGAGCTGAAAGAGT